GGCACATAATCTCTAACCTTAAGACCAAATTTCAGCCTACTCAACTAGGCGGTGGTACATTCAGTGCGTACATTTTTAACAAACTCTGATGCAGATATTCTTGTGAAGGTTGACCTAAGGAATGCTTTTAACTCTATCGATAGGGTAACCTTGCTGAAAGAAGTGGCTAACAATACCCGCGAAAATTATCATTACGTTTGGCAATGTTATAGTCAAAATACTAACTTGTTCTACGAAAACCATGTTATCGATTCTGCTGTCGCTGTTCAGCAGGGTGACTCACTGGGTCCAGCACTTTTCAGTTTGGGAATTCAACCCATTATTTCAAATTTGAAATCCAAGCTGAATGTCTGGTACCTAGACGACGGTACACGACATAGCCCAACGCATTAGTAAGCTGAAGTGGCAGCGGGCCGGCCATATAGCTCGAAGAACCGACAGCCGATGGGGAAGAAAGGTTCTCGAGTGGTAGTCCCGTACCGGTAGGCGAAGTGTAGGGCGACCCCCTACTAGATGAAGTGACGACCTGGTAAGACATGCAGGAAGTCGATGGATGCAGGTGGCTCAGGACCGTACTTTGTGGTATTCCTTGGGGGAGGCCTATGTTCAGCATGAGACTTATGAAGGGCAGTAATGATGATGATGATGATGCCCTGATCACAGACTGAACTTTATTTGTGTTTTTACATAAGACCTTTATGTAAACTGTGAATCACAAATAAACTATTTGATTTGATGTATAAACTAAAGTATTGAACATTTAGGTTTTATATGATTTTTTTCCAGTAAAATTAAATTTATTTTTATTTTATTTTATTTATTTATTTATTTTCACCAACAATATACATTTAGAAAACAAAAAATATGTGCTTACATCTGATACAATACTATTGTTAGGTGAAAAACTGGTGCCTAAACTAGGTAAAACCTGTATCTTAGGTCACTATTTTATTCCCAAGGGGCGTGATATAACAGAAATTTAAAAAAAAACAGAAAATAAAGGTTACTGATAAATAAATAACATGACAAAAAATATGGAGTAATAAATATGGAGAGAATAAGAAAAATATAATAATAAAGACTACTGGTGGCATCGACGTGTCGTTTTGTGACGTCACATCGCGATGCAGAGCTAAGCGGTCGCCCTTACCGTAAAACACCACTTTACTCATCAATATTTCAGTCATTTTTAAAGGTAGAATAAAAATAAGAAGACCGTTGAATTCGTAAATTTTTATAAAATTTTTTGATACCCTTAACATAATTGGGTGGCCAGACCCATTTTCCTGAGCTATGAACACTTTGGTTTGCTGTAGTGACTTAATGCCAGTTTCGGCAACATCTTCATTTTTATCTTCTGGTACACCATGGATCAACAAGATTCTGCGACAATTATGCATCTCGAACCGATCACAGTCTTTTGAGATCAATTGAACTTACTGCTGTAAATTTTTGAGCGCGGAGATAACAAAAAAATTGAAATTTTCAAAGACGGTAGCTAGTGGAGATGATGATGAAGGAGAAGGAACACAAACTTTGTTGAGTTCTTGTTGAAAAGCTGCAAGGCCTGACTGGAACAGTGCTGTTATCTCTTCCCTTAGTCTCTTCCATTGATTGTTCGATAGTCTTCATGGTAAAAGAGTGTAATGAATTGTTATAGTATGTGGTAAAAACAACCATCAGTACTACTGGTGAATGTCACTTAATCTATTTGTACTATTATCATAATTTTTGGCTTAAATATATTTCATTTAAATAAATATTTACAAGAGCACAAAAAATTGCTGTGTATTATTCTGCGCCTACCTGCGAAAAAAAAATACAATTATACACTAGAGATGATGAAAATTAATCAGCTAAACGATTGCTGTATGCAATTTTACTTTAAATAAGCTTACTTACTGATGAAAGGTTATGTTTGGTATTTTTCGCTTTGGTCGGTTTTTACAACCTAACACAACTACGCACCATAATTTCACATAAACTTTGTCTAAAACAAAAAACTTTAAACGTCACGTAACTCAATGGTCAATAATTTAGCAAATAATCACATAAAACCACTAAAACAGTTGACGACAGCCGTTTGTTTGGAACATACTACCTTTGTTCTAAACAAAGGAAATCGCATACGGTGAAAGAAACAAAAAAAAAATGTTTGACTCGCTCGCTCTTAACGTAACTCAGATAAGTGTTTCTCTCACGCATTTCCTGTCATTTTAGTCACGCCTCTATAGTTAATTCTCTCTCTACGACTGGCATAGAATACTTAGAATATACGCCAGTATATTCTAAGTCTATGATTCAACCCCTCACCAACTATATATCAGTATCTATAGAACATCAGATCTGGTTACGCTTGGCATAATGGGCACTGAGCGATACGCGCGCTCTATACCTTGCTTATTTGTACTCTAAGTTCTGAACACTTATGTATTATACTAAGGACTCCCTTCTAAATATTACTATACTCTTTGGTAGAGGTCTAAAACTTTGACAATATGACGACGCTTTACAGATTAATACACAAAACAATGCCTCTGTTGTTTACTCTTTAATTTTTGTACATATTTTAACATTTTTTTCTTTTTTCTACTTTTATGAATATTTGTGGTTTGGTTTATTTATTTTTACTACCAACTAATATAAAATTTAACTAAAAGTACAGAAAGAAAGATTGACTTTTACCATTTTGGGACAAATTAACTTCCCCACTATGATATCTGTCAAAAGTATGCCCTCATTATCACACAACTAATATTTATACACTTAACCAATAATATTATACAGCCATGTCTCGATTAACATTTACAAAAATATTTAATAACAAATTATATGAGTAGGAATTTAGATGGGTGAGTTAAGATAAAAACTGAAAATTAATAAAAATGCAAACTATAATTGATGATAATGTAGCTACAATATAGATCAATGTCATTAAATTATAAGAAGTAGTAGTAGAAAGTAGTAGACCACTGGCTAGGTCTTTTATGATGTAGTGGCGGTATTTTGAGTAACAATATTTTTTCACATTATCGTTTAGGTAGTGGACTTAATATATTATTATAATTTGATAAATAAAATACGTCGACGGGGAAGTAGTGTTATACTTTTGTAAAGTAAGATTTTCTTGATCTTTTTTGAACCAAAATATTTTTCAATCCAAGCATTTTTTTGAATATTGTCCTGCGAGCTCTGTGTTTGGACAGGCGTTAGTAGTGTGCACAGCTTCATAAAGGCCGATTTATATTTATTTTTCACCGGTTATTTTAAAAATATATTGATACTTAACTTAACCATCAAGTAAACTTCTTATACATGGTCCTTGGCGTGAAGTACAACAAGGTGACCAATAAATACGAAATAAATAAATAATAATGCTAATTTTAAAATTAGTTACAAAGGTGAAACTCTGGATATCGCAATAAACATGATATGTAGGATATTTTTTGATATGAAAATAAAATCTTTCTCATTTAAATTTTTTATTTATTTACCTAAGCATTTATGCTATTTCAGTACCTTTATAGAGACTAGTCATACGATATTTTAAAGTTGGTGAGGCAAACGAGCTCACCTAATGGTAAATAATCATCACCACTCATGAATAGAATAGAATAGAATAAAATAGAATAATTTTTTAATCAATATAGATCACATGTGTAATTCTTGCTGGTTCTTTTTTTCAAACCTATGTCCTGGGAAGAACTAGCAAGAAACCCAGCGGGACTTTTTTTAAAAGCATATTTTACATTAATGGTTGTACAAACTATATAAGTACAAAATTTATTTTAGAAACAGCTTGGAAGCGACTACCTCATTCCCAGGAGTTATTATCAACCATGTATTCATTTATACTATAATAACCCTTTTTGTACAGTTTCAACTTAACAAAACATTTAAACTTGGAGAGCCTGAACACTATCCGGGACCTTGTTGTAATAGCGTATACATTACCCCAAGAATGAATTACTGATTCTGTGAAGTCGAGAAGCTGGTATCACTAGCTTGTGTCTGTTCCTAGTGTTTACAGAATGTATATCACTTTTTTTACTAAAACTACCTTTGTTTTTGTGAACATACATTAAATTTTCGTAAATATACTGAGTGGCCAAAGTTAATATACTTCTTTCTTTAAATTTATCTCTAAGAGCCTCTCTCAGTTTTAGGTTGTAAACAGCTCTAACAGACCCATGAACACCTACAATACCGGCCTTATATATAAGCCGATATAATCTAACACGCATATCTTTTGTTTAGAAGGATATTTAATCATATCATCTCATCGTTACAGCCCATCACAAGTTCTCTGTTGAACATTTGCCTCCTCTTAGGAATACCTCAAAGCATGGTCCTGAGTTATTTGCAGCCATCGGCTTTCTGCATCTTTTACCAAGTGGTCACTTCATCTAGTAGGGGGCTGCCCAACAATACGCTTACTGTAAGGAGCTGCCACTCGAGAACCTTGCTTCACCATGAGTTATCGGTTTTTCGAAACATATGGTTGTCCCTTACCAATTCAGCTAAATAAAATTTTATTTATTATTTCTAAAATTTATCTTCATTTATCTAACTATGTTATATTTGATGCGTTACTTCCCCGCCTTCTGCAAGTGACAGACTTTTTTTGCATAGAAATTTTAGATAAATCCGCCTCTAGATGGTTATATGCTCTAAGGTTACAGATCAAAGAAGAATACCAAAGAGTATATAATAATGTATGATTTAATTAATAGTTTCTATAATAATAATACTCGTTGGTAGTCGCCGTTGTCGTTTATGGATTTTACCGTTGTTTCGTCACATCACATTTTTGGCACTGGTGATATGTCAAATTCCAAACTAAACTTCTCTGGGTCTTTAGGACAAATTGTGTTTGTTCATAAATTATATCTTTTTCTTAATTTATATATACTGTTTTCCTTCGAGTGAATGTACCTTATGTGAAATTCATATGTGTTTTGTGTAAAGTGCCAAATTAATGTCTCGCCTACACTGGAATTATGAATCAGGTTGATCAAAATATAAACAAAGATATGATTGATTCTGATCTGATTGATGTGGAGGCACTGGATTTTTCTGATGATCAAACCTGGTGAGTAACACAAATGACTATATAAAAATTGTCTATCGGAATTTTGTCGAAAACGTCTTTGTCTAGGTCATTTGTGTCGTATTAATTTGTCACTTTTCAGACCTTACAATCAGTTTTTCGCCGGTAATAAAATTAAATACTATTACTCAAATGCAAAAAAAAAATTCATTTCTTGGTATTCATCCGTTACTAGACGATGCCCATTACTTAACGCTTTTGTTTAAAGTTTTTCTACTGCTTCTTGTTAAACATTAAGGAATAATTTGGAAAATCCTGTATTTTCCAAATTATTCCTTAATGTTTTGTTTTCAATAAATCCATTATTTACTCTTTCTCTAACAATTTTTAGCTATTAACTAATTGAACTATTATTAATAAAGGATTTAGATATATATATTTATTAATCTACTTATGATCTTTATTTTGGTGTTTTTAGATAATTATTTAAAATTAGTTTTGTCTGTCTTTGATCTGTTGTTCTTGTTACAAAAATAAAATACAATAACCGATATTATTACTACAAGGAATATTGGTATTAGTGTTTTATCAAAGATGATGCAAATACTGTTCAGAAATTAAAAAAACAAAGTAGTAAATTTGGGGATAATACTATAGACAATTTACATTTATATGTATTTTTGCAATAAATAATTTTATACCAACTTTAAGGATAAATTTGATTCACCACTTATTATGATTGCACTGTAATCCCTGTATCCGTATGTATATATTGTTTATCACATTAAGTTCATGACCCTTGCAATATTACAATATTAATTTAATCATTTGTCCAAAAATGATAAACTTAGTATTTATTATTTGCAGGTTGTACGTAGTGCCAGATGACTCTGGTCAAAGAGTTGACGTGATAGAGTGGAATTTATCCTGTGATTGGCCCATCAATGAAGATTGTGAATATTTAAAATCAGAAAAAGAACTTTATTTGGTGTTAGATAATTTATTAAAACGTAAGTATTGTTACATTTCTTTTTCATTAATTTACAATTTAAATATACAAAATAATTATAATAAATTGGAATAAATAGGAATGAATTAAATTATTTAACGCACCTTAAGGTCTGCTAATCTGACTAGCTGACGCTGCCTGATAAGTTTTGTAATTTTTTGTATTAAGGTAATGTTTAAATTTTTTGACTGAATTCAGTTACATTCATTATATGTATATTACTTTTTGACTCTTTTAGCACATAATCTATACTAATATAATAAAGCGGAAGAGTTTTTTTGTTTTTTTGTTTGTTTAAACGCGCTAATCTCTGGAACTCCCAGTCCGATTTGAAAAATTCTTTTTGTATATTATAGCCAGATTCATGTGGAATAGTATAAGCTATCTAGCATTAAGCTATATTACTCAGCTAGCCTTAAATATGGATATTTGTTAAGCAAGTCAGAAGAAAAAGCACTCCCGAAATTATTTACCCGCGTACGCTGGTGTTATCGTTAGGGATACGTAAAGACAATGTTCTAGAAAAATATAGACCTGAAAACTGAAAACCAGCGTAAAATAGCAGCTTTACGCTGCTGTGTTTCGTATGGTAAGTGTAGAGAACCGGAGACCCTTTTTACTGGCAAAGAGGCATTCCATCTTAGTCCTCACGGGTGACAACGCATCTGCATCTTGAGTCTATATTGAGGATAGATGTAGATGTCTATGGGCTACAGCAACCACTTACCATCAGGTGGACTGTGTGCTCGTTTGTCACCCTATACTATAAAAAAAAAAAAAAAAAAAAACCTTTACTCTGTCTAAAAAAAAGTCCGCGATACCATATGTCTATTTCTTATACATAAGCCATAATTTGGTATTTCATGACAAAAAAATATTGAAAATTTAAAAGTGATTTATGAGCATTATTATTAGGCATGGCCTATTTATCCTTACGAACGAAAGTTATGAAGATAAACTTTGTTCTTTATACCATGTTATGTGGACGCATAGTTTAAGAGACAATGTAAAATTAAAATAATTCAATACTTGGCTGGGCGCGCGAGTGACGCTTAAACCTAGGTCGCGCACCTCGGACACGTGATGACGCGGGTGAAACCGCGGGGCACAGCTAGTATATTATAAAGACATTCTAAGCACATACCTACCTCTGCTATAATCCCCCAAGAATCATCGCATGACAAACTTAAAATAAAATAATATTAACATCCTTCAGACTGAATAATTTGGAGATGGAGATTAAGTACTATAGTACCATGCAAATACCTAATCATAATAGTGCCTGAGTGTGCACTGTAATTCACTCTGTCACTAGACCAACATAGTATAATATTATAAAATATAATATTGTTAAAGAGATTATCTTTACCTGTTCTTACAACATATTCACTACTATATATATATACCTCATTTTTGTCAGGTAACTGTTTGCAATTCTAAGCTAGTTTGTATATTTTATGCTCTCTTTATTGCTGGCTAGAAATAAAAAATAGAAGGAGTACTGTGTATAGTTATTAGTCACAGCTTGTTTTTTAATTTTATACTGATTCACTATGATAGCTGAGTAGTTAATATAATGTGAGGACTATAATGGAATGCCTCTTTTGCAGTAAAAAGGGTCTCCGGTTCTCTCGACTCACTATACAAAACACAGCAGCATTAAGCTGCTATTTTACACTGGCATTTTGTGAGATTGTGGTCCTTCCCCGATCAAGCAATTAATATAGCTGCAGCATGACTCTAGTGTAGTGGCGGTCAAGAATATCCACTACCCCATATCTTCCAGTGGGTGTCGTAAAATGCGACAAAGAGAAACAGGCAGGAGATGGGCAGCAGCATCTTCCTGATAGTAGTCGAAATTACAATAAAAAAAACTGCGGTTGCCAACCCGCTCGCCAAGCATGGCAACTATGGCAAATACCCCCCTATGAAGAAAGTAACAAAGAGACGGCCCCCAGTCCCCGGCGGCCCCGCTATTCCTGGCTACGGTGGCGTCCATGGTAACGGCGGGGCAGGGGGTGCTAAGAATCTCCGGTGGAGGTTCGGTTGCCACCTTAGACGACTCGACCTGGCAACGTACAACGCTGCGTGCGTTGTACTTTACCCTGAGGACTGACGAGAAGATCGTGGAGCTGGAGGAAGAGATAGACAAGTTATGCTGGCATATTATAGGATTATCCGAAGTCCGAAGAGAGGGGGAGGACACGGTAATATCCTCGAATCCGGCAACTTGCTCTATCACCGGGAGGGCGACCATCTGTCCCAAGGTGGTGTCGGATTTATCGTCCACAAGTCTCTCGTTAACAACGTTATAAAGATCAAGAGTGTGTCGACGAGGGTTGCGTACCTTATACTCAGAATCACCAAACGGTATTCGCTGAAGGTCATACAGGTTTACGCACCATCCTCGGCACACCCCGATGAGGAGGTGGAGGAAATGTATGAGGATATCTCTAGAGCCATGCATTCCTCCAAAACCCAATATACGGTGTTAATGGGAGACTTTAATGCAAAACTAGGCACAAGAGAGAATGGTGAGCTGAAAGTAGGGAAATTTGGAATAGGGCAACGGAACCCAAGGGGCCAGCGAAAGAGAAAGAGGGACTCTGAAAAGTGGTAGTGATCACCGAATGGTTACAGGCACACTGAACCTAAACGTTAAGTTGGAAAGGTCTCGTCTAATGAAGTCAACGCTCCGACCCCTCGTGCTCTGTTCCAAAGTCCTGAAACCTTTCAGCTCGAGTTACAAAACCGTTTTCAGTGCCTAGAAAACTGCAATGAAGTGGACGATATGAATGACAAGCTCGTGGAAACTGTCCATGCGGTTGGAGCTAAGTTCTGCAAGACCCGCCGCAGAAGAACACAAAAACTCTCCGATCACACTCTTAATCTCATGGCTGTTAGACGGGAGATGAAGCTACATTCTTCAACAGATTTGACAGCATACAGGAAACTGAACAGACAGATCTCCAAATGCATGCGGCGGGACTTACCCAACTTCAATACAGCTTGTATTGAAGAAGCGATCGAGCGGAACCAAGGCTCCAAAGTCTGTCTGCCAGAAAGAGCCAACTGTCAAAGCTGAGGACCGAGTGTGGCAGCATCGTTTCCGGGGCACCTGAGATTTTGAGTGAGATTGAGAGGTTCTATGGGCAGCTGTACACGTCATCGTTGGAGCCAGTCTGAGCGAGATTAGAATGGCTCTCCAGCATCTTAAAAATGGCAAGGCCCCAGACGAGGATGGAATTACAGCGGAGCTTCTGAAAGCGGGTGGAAAACCGGTACTTGAAGTCCTTCAGAAGCTCTTTAATTCCGTCCTCCATGGTGGCATTACACCGGGGGCGTGGAGCAGAAGTGCGGTGGTCTTGTTCTTCAAGAAAGGTGACAACGCTCTCTTGAAGAACTACAGACCGATTTCCCTTCTGAGCCGCGTCTACGTGTTGTTTTCGAGAGTCATTACGAATCGTCTCGCGCGCAGACTTGACGACTTCCAGCCTCCCGAACAAGCCTTCTTATAGTGGTAGAGCCACGCGGCGGCTGTTGCTGTCGCACGGATGGGCCGGCTCGAACCGGGGTGGTATCACGACCTCACAGAAAACCAGCGTGAAGTAGAGGTTTACCTCTGCGTTTCGCTTGGTGAGTGCAGGTGGCCGGAGGTCCTTTTTACTGGAAATGAGGCATTCCATCTTAGTCCTCACGGGTGACTACGCATCTACATTTTGATTTGTAATAGAGGATAGATGTAGATGTCTATGGGCCGCAGCAACCACTTACCATCAGGTGGACTGTGTGCTCGTTTGTCACCCTTATCCTATAAAAAAGAAAGAAGACGGTTTCCGAAAGGGCTTTAGCACCATAGACCACATACATACCCTTCGGCAAGTTGTACAGAAGTCCGAGGAGTACAATTTGCCACTATGCCTGGCGTATGTGGACTATGAGAAAGCCTATGATTCCGTCGAAATTTGGGCGGTGCTGCAGTCTCTTCAGCGGTGCCAAGTTGATTGTCGGTATATCGAAGTGCTTGTACAGTAGGGCTACGATGGCTATCCGAGTACAGAACCAGAGTACGAAACCTATCCAATTGCAGAGAGGTGTAAGACAGGGTGACGTTATATCCCCGAAACTTCACCGCTGCATTGGAAGAAGTTTTCAAGCTTCTGGACTGGAAAGGATTACGGTATTAACATCAATGGCGAGTACATCACTCACCTTCGATTTGCCGACGATATAGTCCTTATGGCAGAATCGCTGGAGGATCTAAGCACCATGCTCAATAACCTCAATAGTGTCTCCCAACGGATAGGTCTTAAGATGAACATGGACAAAACAAAGATCATGTTCAATGTCCATGTCCCACCTATGCCGGTAGTTGTTGGGAGCACTAAGCTCGCAGTTGTTGACGAGTATGTTTACCTGGGACAAATAGTTCGACTAGGTAAGTCCAACTTCGACCGAGAGGTCAATCGACGGATTCAATTCACCTGGGCAGCGTTCGGGAAACTACGACACATCTTCTCGTCAGACATTCCTCAAAACCTTAAAACGAAATTATACAACCAGTGCGTGTTGCCAGTGATGACTTACGGATCTGAGACGTGGTTCTTCACTGCTGGCCGTATGAGGAAGCTCAAGGTCGCTCAGCGAGCTATGGAGAGGGCTATGGTCGGAGTTTCTCTGCGTGATAAACTTAGAAATGAGGATATCCGCAGTAGAACCAGAGTGACCGACATAGCCCAACGGATTAGTAAGCTGAAGTGGCAGTGGGCCGGCCATATAGCTAGAAGAACCGACAACCGATGGGGAAGAAAGGTTCTTGAGTGGCAGCCTCGTACCGGTAGACGAAGTGTAGGGCGACCCCCCACGAGATGGAGTGACGATCTGGTAAGACATGCAGGAAGTCGATGGATGCAGGTGGCTCAGGACCGTGCTTTATGGCATTCCTTGGGGGAATTCAGCAGTGGACTTATGAAAGACTGTAATGATGATGACTCTACCATC